ACATACATACTGGTTAAAGTGGTCAGGTTTAAATAGGATACAAAAGCTCTTAACTTTAATCTTCAGCAATAAAACATCAGTACAATCATTGTTCCTTTGCATTTGTTGTTCAGTTAGGCTCTGTTGTAATTATTAAGGGTTGGTGTTAAACCAGCTGGTTTTTCTGGATGCTGGTTGTAGTTGCGGATGACGGCAACGTGAAGACGCCCAAGAGACACCCGGGGTGAAAAGCACTTTGTGCCAGAAGTGCTGTGGAGGTGTCAGTGTTCTGTTGCATGGGGTTACCTGGCAGCTACACCTGTTGCTGCGAGCATTACCGTTGTACATGGCCTACAGTTTGGCTTTGAGGGGGCAGTAGCCATTTAACTAAAACATCTGATTTATTTTTTTTCTTCCCCAAATGCTGTCACTGTTCGATGCCAGTCCCTCCACATTAAGGGAAGCGCCCAGCGCGCTCCCTTTTAGAAGTCGTCATTCGGAGCAATAGCAAATGCTGAAAAACCTCTCTGTGCATGTAATCTCTCTCTCTCTTTTTCTGCAATATTTTTTCCATTTTTTTGTTTGTTGTGAGAATTCTGTAAGTACTTGCAACATAGAGGATAAGGAATGGAAATGGGACATTTTGCTACACGGGGTAGTTCTGCCTGTTGCAGTTAGTGCTCCACACTGAACCCTTCTCATTTATGCTGAAACCATTTTAGTATGACATGAGACCTGACATGTTCCAGCCTTTGTTATTTGGTGCACAGGGTCTTTTTCCTCCAATCTTGCGCCCTTTGAGCATTGCTATGTGTCACTTTCTTATCTTTAACTTGTGACTTATAATATATACTTAACAGATACTACATGATTAACAGTGTTAAATGTGGTTCTAGACAGTTCATTTAAACATCCATTTTGCAAGTATTTATGAATTTTGTGCAATTTTGCATGCCAAATACTTCTGACTTTTATAACACTTCTCTAAGAGCTTGGCGTTCAGCCTGCAAGTCTTTTCAATCTTTGAAATTGTAGGCAATATGTTTGTATGTACGTATGAGTCTAAAAAAGCAATTATATGCTGTTGTTTTCCAAATAACTAGAGTTACTCTTGGCTGCAATGAAAAGAAGTAGTGGCATTACTGGGTATAGTTTTGAGACGAAATTAGCTATAAATTTGCCAGTTCTCAAGTACCATCATATAAAGCCTGAACTCAGTGTGCTGCATTGACAGTATTCTCCACGAACACTTGGAAATTATCATGAGCCTTTCTTACTCCTTCTTTTGAAAATTAAAGTTAAAGAAATTTATTAAAAAAAGATAAACTGAATAATATAAAGGGCTGAAGGACTCAAAATCAAAACGGGGAACAGAATGTACGTTACATAAAGAAGCAGCTTTTACTGAAGAAACGATAACCCTCTGTGACTACCTGGTAGAAATACTGTGAGAAGAAATTGTTGTTTATATTAGAACTTGCTTATAGACTGACTACAGCAAATCCACTTAATTTTCATTTGAACTCCTCTGCTAAGAATAGAAATGCCAGGATTAGGCACTATGCAGTATCCTAATGGTATTTTCTAGAATCTATCCTATACCACTGTAAGACTTTCTTTTTAAAATATATTTAAAGGCCAGTTTTGTTTGGGATGCTTATATTCTCTAAAGTATGTCTTGAAAGCACTAGTTGGCGGTATCACACAAGTGTTGGGGGTACTCCCTGTTTTCTGATAGCATTTAGTGATCTCTGCTTTCCTGCTTGCAAACAATGAGAGAAGTTTGGGGAGAGTAGTGTAGCTCCCTTTCTAAGGAGATGTCTTCTGACAGTTAAATGAACGTCTCTAATGTGGCTGTTCAGTATCAGATAAATGGATTTTAATTTAAACATAAGACTATTGTTAGTGCTACTAGAAACGAGTGGTTCACAACCCTGGGTATGAGCCAGCACAGATGTGATCATCCGCTTCTGAGTCACCTGGGAAAGTTACTGCCTGGTTTTGTGCCTGTGGTCCACAGCAGCGGTGTGAATCGTGCAAGACATGGCAGTGTTTTGCTTGAGGACTGTGGAAAAGCATTGCTTATGTGTTTTTGTTGGGTAACAGTGAACAAGCTAGCTGAACTTAATGTAAACTGAGTGTAAAGCTCATGGGTGAATTAATTTCTCTTGTGACTTGGTCTGCTTTGATGAAAGGCTGGCGTCCAGTCATCTAGTGTCCAGTCATGCACTGTAATGCCAGATGCTACTCCAACCCCCCCAGACAAGTACTGCTGCCGACTGACGAGATGGGGACTCTACGCGGGCTGTAATGAGAGGTGAGGTAGAGGCAGAGTCACCGCTGGGGAGTCACTGCTCTTGGACATGCAGTTCATCAGTGCAGTTCAACACTAAAGCAGGATGCAGTGCACGGGTTTGGCCAACTACTAGTCTTTAGTGATAAATGTGGAACAGCAGACTGGCAGGAGAGACAGTTTTGGGAGAACTGGCTAACGAACCTCCAACATTATCCAAGACGGACCAAGAAAACTACATTTCCCTGAGCTGTTTGAGCATCCTTCTCACACACAGAGATGCTGTTTGTGTGGAAATGATAACTGATAATTGAGGCCTGCCATTTAATCTGGTAATTTCAGGATTGGCGTATTGCTTGTAGCCGTTTTCAAGTCAGTGCATTTCTGAAAAAGACACTATTTTGTTGTTGTGTTTTAACTATAAGTATTGTAAGTGAAAAATGGAATTTCATAACAGTATTAAATATAGAACTGAAGGTAATACAGTAAAATTAGTTTTAAGACCTTGTTGGTTTAAAAAAAAAAAATAGTGTCATGATATTGTGTTTATCTAGCCAAAACAAGAAGAGGATTTTTATCTGCTCTGTAAAATTACAGGTGCTTTTTCTGTGAAGAATTACACTTCAGATGAAAAAAGGAGAAAAGCAGTATTGTAGACTGATTATCGTATCAAGTGTGAACTGTGCACTGTCAGAACATCTTGTTCATTTCATATAAGCAGATAATTTTTTGGGAACTGTTGCCAGGAGAGTGGGATTTTAACTTTCTCACATCCAGGCTGCATACTTTAGCAAATTCTACAATCTGGATGATAACCAAAAGAACAGTTCTGTGTTGATATAGAACTATTTCCTATAATAATAACAACTTTTAAAAGATTTCCAGCAGCTTTGTAAAGTCAATATATCATTCAGGAGCTCAAAATAGGAGTCTTTGGTAGGATTTCCAACTACTTGTTACGTATTCTCTGTGGAAGACAGTCTTTCTCTAGAGGGGCTGTGGTATTTTTTAGACATCAGAGTTCTGCTTAATGCATAAAAATAAACACAATTGACAACATAAAAATAAACATAGTTGATAACTATTTGGTACTTCTTATCTCTTTCTTGAAGGGGAACCTAGAGCCATTGCTTTTTTATTGTTCTTTGGCATAAATAAAAGGGGCAGCTTTGTGTATAAGTCAATGTTTATTTACTGAGAGCTCACTTAGAACAGAAAAGTAATGCCATTCTGGCCATCACACAGATGTGTCTTCTTAGGGTGAAAACCCATTCTGACTATGAAGTTTTTGTAAGATGTTAATGTGTAAGGAGCTTAGGCTTTTTAGTGCATAAATGAATTTGCTAGTGTCGTGGGTTTCAGCCTTTGCTGTGCAGTGAAAGAAATCAATCTTGATTCGTGGGTCTGTGCTCTGTATTTTCCCAGGATATCCATCCATTGGCTTAATTTAAGACCGTTTTCTAGGATCCCAAATCAATACCTTTTAATTTTACAACCCTCAAAAATAGGGTTTATTGCAGTGTTTGTAAAAGAATTTGAGACCATTATAGATTTGAGTTGTTCTCAGACTTTTAATTTTCTTTGTGTTATTGTTAAATATTGTACTGTTGCTTGGAGAACTCTCGTGTACAGAAAAGCATGCAACAGACCAAAGTTGGCATCTTTAGGCCATCATAATGATTCAGGGTAGCTGAAATTCAGAGAATGACAAGTGTTAAATACATTTCAAAGTGTTATATGCACTGATGTAGTGAATGCATAGATTCAGTTGGCAATGGATGACTGAATGTGGTCCCCTCCATATCTGATACTCTATTTTGCAGAGACACAAGTGGCTCAAGGAATGCTTGTAAAATCTGTCTTTCATTAACAACTGTGTACTATTCTTCACTGCTAATTTATCCTCAGCTTTTGCTTAGTGCATAAAGAATACTGTGGAGGTGTTAGTGATACTTTTCAAAATAAAACCTTGGGGAAAAAAGACCCGATGCACTCTGGAGGATTTTTTCCAAAGGTTTTCATTCTGAGGTGTATCAACTTCATTTTTTACTTCCTCTGCCATTAAATCTCATATGCAATTGAACAGGAATTGGTTAAGAGGAACAACTTCCTTCCCTTGAACGTTTTGCTGAAAGTGTATTAGTATCAAAGTGGATTATTAGAGCCTGAAGCTCAGATCTTGATCAGGAATTCTACAAAGTAATCAGTTCTGGATGGAGTTTTTGTTCTGCTTGATAATATGTTTTTGTAGTCAGCTTTCTTGCACTTGTGTCAGCACTTTCTGAGTGTATGGGGACCAGGGGATGTTGGGATTTTTTGGTGGATTTCGTGTGTCCCCGCAGGTCCCTCCCCCCCCCCCCCCAAAGATCAAATGAGATGAGAGTCTGACCTGTTTGGAGAATCTAACTGTGTAATTACTGTTGAAGAGGTTGTCAGTGTGCTTGATAGTGATAAAGCGCAGAAGACTTATTCCCAGCTTAGCATGAATTTACAGATAAAGGTTTAGAACAAATAGAAGCTCCTGTTCCAGGCAATGAAAACCCTTGCCCTTTAGTAACTGATACTAAAAAAGAAAAAAATTACCCACAGCTTAGGGAAGTTATCTTGCACTGCTAGCTAGAGAGGATTATTTTTATTTTTGGAGAATATCCACTTATGTATTGCATTTGAGTTTTCCCATGTTTGTGTCTGATACAGCCAGTGCTTATTGTTTTTCCCTCTGTTTCAGCACCCAAAGACAATGAAGAACGTGTGTTCCGGGAACGTATGCGCCCCAGAAAGCGCCAGGGTGCTGTGCGACGCAGAGTACATCAGGTTAATGGACACAAGTTTATGGCCACCTATCTTAGACAACCAACATATTGTTCGCACTGCAGAGATTTTATATGGTATGGCTTTGTTTTCTTTGCAACTTTGTATTGAAGAGTTAATATACCTTCCTGTTTTGCTGAAGTATAAATGGCGTAGAGTAGTAGTTCTTTTCCTCCTCATTTTAATATCAAGCTGTCATCAGTTTTGCAGACAGTAATAGAAGACTCTTAAACTTCCATTTGTTGTATTTGTGTTTTTTCTCCTCTGAGCCACAAAGTTCAATCTTTTCCTAGTCCACACTATAAACTAGGTAGACAGCCAGTCTCGTGTTCTGTAGGTGCCTAAGTGTAGTTTTAGACCTAATATTAGACCTTTACATTTTGCCAAGATGACTGAATTCTTCTTTAGGTGCTTAAGTATCACCATCTTCCTCCTAGGAAATGCCAAGCTCATACACATCCTGCTGAAGTTAATGAAATATGGGAATATTAAACTTCTAATGATCCAGGGGTTTGGGTGCTTAGTGTACAGGGTCTTTCTTATTACAGTGTATGTCAAGAGCTCCCTTTTAGAAATTATTTACATTAGTTTTGAGTACTCACAATTTTCAGATAGGGAAAAGACATTCCGTTTTCAGTTATTTTTCCACAACTTTATTGATGTTTTCCAAAGTTACCTAGAGATACTGATTTGCACCTTAATACACATAAGATCTGATGTGATCCATAATTAATATTTCTTAAGAGTGTGTAATGACTCTGTCTGTCTTTTGTAATGTGAAAAGATGTGAATTGTACATGAACTCAACTACATTCCTCTAAGAAATGTCTGCAGGTTAGGCTTTAGGTTAGCTAAGATGATTTCAAGCAACAATATTGGCAAATGCAATCTTCTGTCTATTTAGGGGCCTGCCTGATGACTGTTTTACCGGCTTGTGGCTTCCCTCTCTATGTACCCTTTGGCTTTGCCTATTTTATTATACGAAATGTGTCTTTACTTCTGAATCCCTCCATGGCCTATCTTCCTACCTGTTACCTCTTAGCAGCTGAAATGTGGTTCCTACTTTGAACTGATCTCAGTCTAGGCATGCAGTTATCAGATGACTGGTTATAAGAAGCTATTCTTTTAAACTTGTGTATGTCCAGTAAAGAGAGGAAAAAATGTTTTTCATTTTTAAAAATACATATTCTTCATTTTCTAAAACACTGTTTTATTTTCAGGGGTGTAATAGGAAAACAGGGATACCAATGTCAAGGTAAGAGAAAATCTTACAGGGGGACAGTTTGAATATATGTATTATGTTATAATATATAATAAGATATTTTCATCAAGCATTGTATATGTACAGTGTTAAGAATTTAGCACAAGACGATCAGAATAAGTTTGTTTCACCAAAGATACATTCTTTGCAGTAAGTCACAGTAAGATTTTTTCAAAACTGTTGGTCTTGGCATATATGAGGTAGCGGCACAGTTAACATCGCTGAACAGCAGATACTAGATATCTCTTGATGCACATCCAACTAGGGGGACATAGGATGTTGGCTTCTTCATTTTTCACTTCTTGCATTTTAGAATTGGGAATTCTTTATTCTGCTTAAGATTTTTTGTTTAAAAATGCCAGGTAATTGCAAAGGCTGTAATTAAATAGATGAGAGAATTATGGAGGTCATCATTAGAGAAGGTTATAGTAAAGACTGCAGAAGTGCTTCATTTTCAGCTCCCATTTTTCAACTCAATTTCTTGTACTTTTAATTTTTTATGCAGTCACCTCTTGGGATGATGTTTTTCTACTTAATTCTCATCTGACAAGTAAAATCAAGTTAGTGATGATTTTTCAGTTAGAAAAGACTTGATGAAATCTCATTGTAAATAAATAAACGCAAATAATGGTTTTACATGCTATAATAAGAATTACTGTATTAACATACAGCAGAGGTTCCTTGAGTTCTGATTATTTTTTTCTTACAACAATGACCAAATGTAGAAGAAAATGAAATTCATTATTTCACTCTGAAGGTTTTTTTCTTCACTTAATGACCTTGAATCCCACAGTACGATAGATCTTGCAATTTTTAATCTTATCTGTCATATCTGCAAATGTTATTCATTGATTAAGTAATCAGTGTGAATATTGACAAAGCATTTTTGCCTCCTGAAACTTCTTACTGTTATCAACGTACGATAATGTGTTACAGAAAGAATGTTCGACTTTGGTTTATCTGTCTTTGACTTTTACGAGTTATCTTTGTGTCTCTTTCCCTCTGGAAACTCTTCAGACAGGAATTGTTTTTGCCATTGTGTCTCATGTAATGTGGAGATCATGGGCTTTATTAGATAAAGAAATCAAATAGGTAAAAATTGAGAAAAATTGTGGTTAATATTTCAGAAGGTAATTTGTGGTTTTACGTACTCAGATTTTGACAGATATGCTTTACTTCTCTTAAAATTCATTGGTCTCTTGAAAGTCCGTTATATTCTGCCTTTGTAAGCCAGACTTACTTCACAGGACTCAGCAAGTCACCAGTCACTTGCAGCCTTTCAAATCCCAGCATTTCTAGTCTTCTGAGATCAGTCTTTTGCTTTAAAATCAGTCTTCATGAAAACTCATTCTTTTATCTGTTTTTTGTTTATAGTTTGCACTTGTGTAGTCCACAAGAGATGCCATGAACTTATAATAACGAAGTGTGCTGGCTTAAAAAAACAGGAAACTCACGATGAGGTAAATGTTTATAAAATAAATTTTCTAGATAAAGCTCTGTCTTTCATCTGTTCAAAGTAGTGTCATCTCCTCTGTTTAATCAATAAATGTTACAGACTTTTTTGTGCCCTTCTGGTTGTCTTGTGATGTAGCATTTACTTTGGAATGACAGATTATCATAACAGTTTCATCTACATGGGAATTATTATACAGCAACTTATTTCTAATTAGTAAACTTTTTATAACATCTGAATGCTTAAAGTCTCAGTGAGCTCTTTCCACTCCTTTTCATTTTTAACATTCTCCATTTCTGAATTAATACGAGTTTTGTCATTGTAATTCAAAAGGAGCAGGATGGGACCCTTTATTCCTTAACTGCAGTTTGTGTGGCTGAGTCATTAGCAGCTGATAGGAAAGGCAGTGTGCTTGGGTATTGCCTCAACATAAAAGACTGCCCAGAATTTGCTTGCAAAGTTTCACCTCAAGAAAGACTGCATCAAAACTGTCAAAATGTAGAACAAAAGCCATCCCTGTGTTGAAGAAGGCCCATGGATATTGTATAAGATGGTAGTGATAAGGTAATGCATAGCGAACAGGTTTTCCAGCATAATTACTCCCTACCTCTAGCAAGCTTTTGTATACTAATGGAATTAACACAATATGTGCTTCATGTTATCATGCATTTAAATAAATGAAGACATCACCTGAAAATGAAATTAGCTGCCTTCAGAACCATACTGTCAGGGAGGTAGATATATCTGCCAACAGCACGTTCAGCTCTGGGTCAGAAGAGAAAACAAAGCAATCCTTTCACTTGGGTTAAAGGTCTCTCTCGGCTAAGATGGCCCTTTTAGGCTTGGTTAGGCAATTAATGTTAATTCCCATGGACAGTCATATACCAGGGAGCTGCTGTCGTGTTCGGCTCCCTTAGACTCCTCAGCTTTGGGGTATCCTTTTATGGCTGGGTTGATAGGGGACAGTTGGGGACGGGAGTGGGTTTATGTTTTTTTAAACAGTTGTAGCCCTCAGCTGTAAGCAGTGGATGCTTTATCTTATACAGAAGTTTTTTGTTTGTTTGTGTTATAATGGAAAAGCTAATGAATGCTCACTGTCCTGTTCTGTTTTGTGCAACAGCAAGGGCCTGCTGTCTTTCACCATAGGATTAAGTGAGGTAGTCTGTGGGTGATCCCAGTTCCTTGGCCACACAGAAAAAGTACATTTCTTAGTTTTATTTGTTAAAAACCTGAATTTATGTGCTTGAAAAAGCCTAGTTTTAAATTACAAATCAGAGCTGTCTGTAACAATGATTTTAAGCCACTCTTTCAACTTTGATAGGAATTTGACTGAGACACTGACTTGATCTCATTCTTCCTGTGCAATTCACTACCATTTTTCATACTGGAAGCATTCTTTAATATCTGGTTCACAACCAGTATTTTATGTCCAAAACTTGGTCACTTGCATAGGATTGTGATAAAGGACTGTGTTTGGCTAGTGTTGTTTTTGCATAGTACTCACAGGAAGATACAAGATCTTGCCTAGTTTTATATTCCCAGGCTCCAGACTGGTGGAGACTTGTATGCTTTGCTGATACAATGCTCTCATTGTTTAGAAGGGGTACTAGATCACTGGAGAGAAGCCAGTGGTAATAGGAAAGGGAAGGAAAAACATCAAAATAAATCTCCTGCTATGCAGTGGCCACTATAAAAACTTATCAATGACATCCTTTAATTAGTAAGTAATCGTACCTTGGAATCCCTGAACACAACAAATTATCTTTGTCATTTTCATAATCTAAGGAAGAGTGGGATCTGAAAAGGTAAAGGGGTTGTGATATATTTCTGTTTCTTAGTCCTGTATTAGTTTGGCCTCCTAAAACAATTGGGAGTGACTTCCTTGCCTTCCACATTAAGAGATCTTTCCTGATAGCTATGTATTTGTTGTTCCCAGAAGTACTAGGAAGTAGACTTCAGTCTTTATCTTTTAGACAACAGCAGCCCTTCCCCCTCTTTTCCCCAAATAGAGTAGCGAGAAGAACTCTGGAGCTGGAGTATATCTAATGCAAAGATCATCATCTGAGCACAGACCTATTTCATCTTGTTTGAATTCTGTGCGGTTTCAAAACATAACAGGGCCTCGGCATACACTGATTATAAAGAAATTAATTAGAATGAAATATGCTCTGCTCTCCTTTTTCAGCAAGTGGGATCCCAGCGTTTCAGTGTCAACATGCCTCACAAGTTCAGCATTCACAATTACAAAGTGCCCACCTTCTGTGACCACTGTGGTTCATTGCTCTGGGGTCTTTTGAGACAAGGTTTACAATGCAAAGGTAAGGATTACCACTTCAGAGCTTTTCTTTTTCTTTGTGAGTGCAGTAGACTTGGAGAGACTTCAAGTTACTCTGTATTTTCCAGCATGTACAGAAATGAATAGAAAGTAAATAGCAGACTGCTGTAGGGATTGCCACCATGGTTAGAAAATGGTCCTTTACCCTGTCTGCAACACCAGTCAATAACAGATGCAGAGGACAGGCGCAGAAACACATTTTGCACTCGCTGCTGTGTAGGTTTATTGCCACATAGGAAATTAGAAGTTGACAGAAAATTAGGAGCATGAGACTTTACATCCTTTCAGCTTATAAGCCTTTTGTGTTTTCAGGTGTGTGGTGATGGTTGTTAAACTTTTTAAACGTCATTATTCTAGCTACTTTTTCCTTTAATACCGTCTTCAAAAATGACTATTATGTATTGGCTAGGCGAGGCAGAACCAGTCCTGTGTGCCCATATCCAGAAGATGAGGTATTCTGATACCTAGCCAAATCATCCTTTGTGATGGTCTGCCTAGCCCCTCTGTTCCAGAAAATAAAGGATTCATTATGTTCTGCAGCTTAAGGACTGTGTACTCTGTACAGTAACTGTATATGAAGTTACTGCTGGAAGGTGCATTCATGTCATTTTAGCTGACTAACAGAAGTGGTTGTTTCCATATCTCCTTGTTTCAAGCAGATCTATATATTCTGAAAGGAGGAGAAAATAGTACAAATACTTGCAAAGGAAAGTAATATTTTAGAAATAGTAAATAAAATACTTCAATTAGTGGGTCGATGGTAATGATGTCATGAAGATTGTCAGATTCTTAGAAAGTAGTACCTAATGGAATTATAAGCATTTTCATTTTGTTACACCTTTATGAATGGGTAGGTCCATCTTCATAAATACAAAAAATAATGTTATTTACACTTCTCAACAGCAGAAATGTGGAGTCACACATATATGTATAAACACATAATCTATTAAATATATGCTTTGCAGTATTTAAGATGAAGGTCAGACCTAATGCTTCATGTCACAAATTGCTGAGCAGCAAGGGAAAGAGGAGATTTCTTTCATGACAAAGTGATAGACAGTGAGGGCGTTCTGAAGTTCAAGCCTTCCCTTGTGATTCTAGCTAGTGAGCAGTGATAAAATGTTAGACTCTAAATATTGTTACTTTACTGCTATTAAAGATTTTGTTCAAATGCTATCTTAATTATGGCGGAGATATGTTCAGAGAAGATTTTTCAATTAAACCTGATTTTTTTTTCTCTTTGATTTTTAATCAGAGCTATAGTATCTCACCACTTAATCTGTGAATATATTAATTCACTTTCATATTCTCTCTCAAGTACCATAGCGGTTCATTTCCTCTTACCTGTAGAAAATAACGTTATTTCTCATATATATGCATTTACTGTGTACCAGATGCATAGAAACAATAGTTCAGAGAGCCTATGTTGCTTTCTCCATGGTCATAAAATTAGTGCCTATAAAAATGCAGTATGTCTGCATGAAATCTAGAACTCACCTGAGCTGGACATGTCATTTTCTCCGTGCTTTGCTTTCTCTCTTAACAAGTGCCAAACAATGCTCCCTTCTTCAGAGATGTACTTGCTTGCCCAGTGTAGTTATGAACACCATGAAAGTGTATTCCTGAGGTTTATTCTTCCTCTGTTTTTTCATTGCTTATTCCTGTGCTTCTTTTTATAAAATCTGTTCATGAAGTTGGACTGTACAAAATTTTCCCGCTTGCTTTATGTCAAGCAGTTCAGTTCCTCAGTGTCCACTGTTACGGATCCTAGGTCAAACATTTTACTTGCCACTGAGCTTTTGTCACTGAATATACATGCACTGAAAATACCATGTGTGGCAATTTCTTTTTGCTCTTCTTGTGAGCTGAAACATACTTGCAAAGGAAAGGCACCTGCTTTCTGATGCGCATGGTTACTGCTGCAGATACAGTGCCTGTGTATAGTCTCAGGGGCAAATATGGTTTGTTTCTTTAAGGCTTATATGTTGAAAGCATTGTTGATGAACAATATAATGAAATGCAGCTTTATAAATACATACTTTTTTGATTTTTTGTTTCTCTAAAAAGTAATGAAGTGAGGATTTTGAGCAATTGAATGTTAATCTAGTATTTAATTACACTTGCAGTTTTGCTTTCTTTATGTCTTGCTCCACAAGAGGGCAGTGAAGTCTAGGATAAAATATGTCACCTGCTCCTAGCAAATCCACACTATGCTGTTCTTCATGCAGCTATGTTCTCCCCCCCTACCCCATAACCTGGAAGCAATGTAACCTGTTTTTCCTCTTACTAGTGTGCGAGTTTCAGGAGATGGTAATTAAGAGAAAGAGCTTAGTAAATGGATTGCCATCTAAAGAGAGAGAGTGGCTAACGGTGCCAAAGACTTTTATTAGAACTTAAGACAAAAACCAACAAAACTGTTGGTTTTATGTCTGCCTACATTAGGAGTTAATCTACCTGAGTAAAATGGAGTAAGAAGCAATAACATAGGAGGAACTGATGTTGCGCTCTCAGTATGAGAGCAGAAGTGGACTGCTAAAATCCAAGCTCTGAAGGACTTTTCTTCTAATTCAAATTCTATTTAAGATTTACAGGATCATTAGATATTTTAATTTGTTCCTGTGTCGGTTCTGGGTACTGTGTGAAAGCACTGTTCTGCCTTATCATAGCAGAAGAATGATAACCAGGTTAATAATTTTATATTAGTGTTCAAGTGTCACTGCAAATTCAGCTAAGTATTTTTCTACTGAAATTATATTTATTTGAAAAAGTTATTGGTAGGTCCAATAAGGTCTGATTTAAGTAAGACAAATGCATGCCAAGGTAGTATTTAATTTGCTCTATTACTTTACATTTCATTGCAGTTTGCAAGATGAATGTACATCGACGCTGTGAAACAAATGTGGCACCAAACTGTGGAGTGGATGCTAGAGGCATAGCTAAAGTTCTTGCAGATCTTGGAGTCACTCCAGATAAGATCACTAATAGTGGGCAGAGGAGGAAAAAGGTAATTCTACTATGTAGTTTCACATAAGAAATGAGATGAGTATGGCTGTATTGTAACTTTATCAGTTGGGGTTCAGTCCCACTCACTTGACTTGCACAAGAATTTTTTTTAACTCAGTACAGAACTAAGACTTTGGCTTTTGATTTATAAGTGCAAATCATCTATTCTGATTTTTGATATGAAATTTATTTTGACCTGCTACAATTTTGCAAACCTGGAGCCTGTATAGTCTGGAAGGATTTCCCCTTTTTAATTTTGAGGAAGGAGATTTGACAGAGAGACGGTGCCTGACACAACAGTTCATAAAAACATAAATGTCTCTTTGGCTCAGAATTGGCATTGGATAATTGATTGATTGAGACACAGCACTGGTCCATAACTTTGTAAATGCTGATAAATGAGCCAATGTGCTGACCCTCATGAAGAGGAGCTGTTTGCCAGATGACAGTTCCAGAGTTATCATCACTATTATAGGAAGAACTAGGCTGTTTTAGAAATAAAAAGTGTAGGTCACCCCAAATACATCCAAAGCTGATGGAGTTATTCTGGATTTGTAATATGTATCCTGGATCAGAATTTGGCCACATTTTCTATCTCTATTTGCATGATTGTGACAACAGACCCATTACCATCACTTAGAGAAATAGGCAAATTTAACCACAATTTCTTAAAACATTGACATTTCGTTCTGTTCATTTTCCTGATTATTGCACACTTGGATCCCATGTACACTGTTTTAAAATGTTACAGAAACATAGAAAACCCAGGAATAAATTAATTGATCTGTGACTCCTGGGAAAAGATGTTGTCATGTTGTTACTGCATGAGTTAGTTTGCAGTGCTTGCTGATGCTTGTTGTAGTTAAATGTATTTACCGGATAGATTTCTACACAGGCTCAAGGTGACTATTCAAAATTTTCCCACTCACTGGGTATGCTTATTACGTTTATTTCATCTTAAGGACCTATTTTTCTTTAAATTGCTGTTCTTTCTCTGTTTGTATGATGGTCTCCATTTGATGTGATGCCATCTACTGTATGGTTGAGGTCCTGTCAGTGCGTATCTATAGAGGTAGAACATCTTCACTTTCCTTCATACTTCTACTCGCAAATTAATGTTGTTAAATTAAATTTCCTCTTGGCTCGGGAGAATCTCATGGCTGAGTACCACTTTTGGAATTGTTCTTAGCTAATTGCAGGTGCAGAGACTCAACAACCAGTTCCCGGAAGCACATCATCAGAAGAAGACAGGTCAAAGTCAGCACCAACTTCTCCATGTGATCAAGGTCGAACATCTCTTTTTATTTCCTAACATGTATATTGTCACTTCTTTATGAGGAGTAAAAAAGCTATCGTCGCCAGTCTTTGTAGAACCAAATCAACAAACTAGTTACCACCAGAAGATGAAACACAGGAAAGTTATGAACTGCAAAAACTTTTTTTAAATGCCTACTTCTCATTTCATTTAAATCTGTGAAATTAAGTGGCTTTTAAAGAGAAAATTATAAAAATCATCTTAAAATATTGTTAAGTTCACTAGATGAGTCCTTGCCTAACCAAATGCCTTTATATAAGGAGGTTATACATTGTAAGAGTAAGAACATTTTAAATAATACCACAGAACTTGAGAGCACCTTTATCTATCTGAAAAGCCACTAACTGTTAATAAGTTTTTGAGATAAAATTGCCTACTTGCAATTCCATGTTGAACATTTGTGATGATAAAAACTTCTGTCCAGTTAGGCTATGCTAGCGTGTCTGTGTCGTCTCTAGAGGCTTCATAAAACTGTTTCCTTTCAGTGATCTTTTTCATGCATAGATTTGGAGACAAATAATTTAATCTTCACTGATATGACCTGATTTCATTGAACTGAACAGTCTGATTGACAGAACGTGTATGTCAGCAGCACTTTTTGAATCTGATCTGATTGAAGTTTTTGAAAATCAGAAGTCTGTGAGGTATCTTATGTACCATCATGTGTGTAAACTGATGAATGAAAAATCTTTACACCAGGAAATAAGAAGACAGATACTTTTGTGTCAAATTCTTTGAAAATTACTTACAGTTGAGAAATTTCTCACTCTTATTTTTAGGGAAGAGACTTCCAAAGATCCATGGTAGTAAGTACTGTAAGAGTCTGAGTCCAGAACTGATTTAAATTTGTCAACCTTTTTGTTTCACAGGCAGCATTTTGGTTAAATATTATTCTTTAAATGTCTGATGTTTTGCTTAAAATAAGAACAAAGGATTTGCCTAAATGCTCTCTTAAATTTCGCTTTTGTAGCTGTCCAGTAAAGTTATTGCTTCCAGTAAAGTTATTGCTTCCAAGGCCATCAGGCAGAAGTGCTATGCAAGAGCTTGAGGCAGACCCTGAGGTCCGTTAGTCACCAGGACTCACTGTGTTTAGCATTGAGAAACCTTCAGAACCATTTAGCAGATCTACACAATTGCCACTTGAAGCGGCACTAGGAAGTGGTCAAATACTTTATTGGCAGGCATCTGATAACAGCTGGAGCTGAGTAGGGTGCTCCATTCATGTTGGCTTCGAGGACTGGGACGCCCAACTATCCTTTGAACTTTTGAAGATACAACTCTAAAATACTGAAGCGGGAAGATGAGTAAGTGCTGCAGGAAGATAGGGGTATTCAAAACAAAGTACTTCTCTGTGGTACAGGAACACCCAAAATCACTAAAACAACTATTTGGCCACTATTCTGACTCATCTGTCAAGTTTTGGATATGTCATTCTCTTAGGTTCATTTTAAAAGGCCACCCTTCCTGTTAGAACAGGATTTCGGCTGATTACTGTAAGGTGGAGAAGCAGTTTGCTAAATATGTGTTCTTAACCACAGAATGCTCTACACAGCATTCAGGGATGATGAATGTCCCTTCCCAAAACTGATACAGACTAACACAGGCTGTTTTTGTGATGTTTGATTAAAACGAACACATTTTCTCACATTTCCACAGAAATCAAAGAGCTGGAAAACAACATTAGGAAAGCGTTGTCATTTGACAATCGGGGAGAGGAACACAGGGCAACAGCTACAACGTCAACAGACAACCAGCTTAACAAAGCTGGGGAGAATGGTGAAAATGGGGAGGTCAAACAGGCCCAGACCAAGCGAATAGGCCTTGAAGAGTTCAACTTCATCAAAGTATTAGGGAAAGGCAGCTTTGGCAAGGTAGGTAGCTTTCCCCCTCCTTGACTGCACTGCTTTGAAAGTATTCATAGTGACATTCAGAAGGTCCTTCCACCCCAGGGGTTTCCTTCCATTCTTCACCCATTGGGTAAAAGCAGCTTTTACCCCACAGATCAGAAATATCAGCCTCCTGATCAGATGGCATTTTCTGTGCTTTAGCTCACTTTATTAACTATAGTCAAGCCTTTTGAAACACAACGTCAGTGGTTCACTATTTCAGGATATTGGTAATGAAGACATACATACTGTTCAACAAGATAATTAGTGGTGGTCAAGCAGGACAAATCCGCCCAGGAATAATGCTGTGGAATTCTGAGTTCATTCCTTTCTAGATAATACCCAGTCCAAGTTTACTTATTTCACAGAACAGTTTGTGTGCTTGTTTTTCCTCAGTGGGTGTGTCTAGTGCTGGAGGAAGCAGAATTCAAGCATTTCCACTCAGATACGACTAGTGCAAGAGGCTTAGACAGCTGCCCAAAATACCACGTATGCGGCAAAGATGTAACTCACCAGATACCTTCCCACAGTAGGGAATTGATGAGGGTGGAAGGGGCATTGCTCTGTTTACAGGGCTTACAGATTTTTCTTTTCACAGTGCTGTGCACTGTGGAATCAAAGAGGAGGAGGAGGACTGAAATGTGAATCTGTTTCACAAGTACACTCTTCCTTCCTTGATATACGGGAACTGCAGATGCAGAGGGACGGGGCTGAAGCAGTTCTTTTGTCTCCCTGTTTTCTAATCCTTTCTCTGAAGATTACGCTGGCTCCAAGCCAGAACTGAACTTAAACAGAGTATAGGGCTTGAACCTGAAACAATAGTAGTAGTTAAAATCAACAACTTTAAAGTGGCCAGAATGGTACGTGAGATTGTATACTAAGTTCATCACACACAAATCTCACTACCAAAAATGGGAGATAAGAGTGGGAAATAAATTTCTGTTCTATATCAACTTCCTTCTTTTTTTAGTTTTTGAGATCTCATTGAAAGGCACTCATTAAGGTATTTGAATGAGCGGATAAAAATTTTTTATCTTCTGTATTCTTAACTAACAAACAAAACAGATATCGTCTGTTTCAAATTTAAAGAATACCAGAGGTATCTTTTCTAAAATTACATTAATTTTAATTTTATAAACATACAACTTCATTCAGGCAAGTATGTAACTGTCTTTATATTCCCAGTGCAGTTAAACTTATATGCAACCTTGCATTTATGGTATCTGTTGTTCATATGTAAACAGAATTTCTGTTTGTTTTAGGTAATGTTAGCTGAGCTAAAAGGAAAAGATGAAGTATACGCAGTGAAAGTCTTGAAGAAAGATGTCATACTTCAAGATGACGATGTAGACTGTACAATGACAGAAAAGAGAATTCTGGCATTGGCACGGAAACATCCATACCTAACACAACTTTACTGCTGCTTCCAGACGAAGGTAAGCTACATGAACCTTTTACCAGTTTGTGCCCTAGGAACAATATTCACTATTTCCAGACTAAAAGACAGCAACGTAAAAAGTGCAGCAATATTTCAAAAATATTTCTGAGAAGTTTTTGGCATTTCAGCATTTCAGTAGTATCGAACCAGGAGTACTGGCTGCTGTTAAATAGCATAAATACTATTACCTTGTAAGTACCAGGAGATGGCAGTAAATGAGTTAAAAAAACAAAAAAAAAACCCACATGCATAAAACACAAAAAAACTGAGGTGCCATTTTCTGTGTTTCTTCTGTACATTAATATGGTGTATCATTTATTGAATTAAATACAAATGTTTTTAATATCCAGTATTCAGAGTAAAATTTCTAAAATGATCTTGTCGGAAATGAGATTATGGTAGAACACTCATCTTTTCAGTTTTCTTGTGCTGTGTAGTATACAAAATGTTCAAAAGAGAAAGGAAATAGGTATGCTGCTTATCAAGTAAGTTCCTATGGTGCTAATGCCTCCCATGTGCTTGAGGAGCAGGGAGAAGGAAAGGCAGAGAGCGCCGATAATGAGAGCCTGTTCCTGTGGCATGTTCCTTGTTGGTAATTTTTCATACAGAATTCCTCTTCATAGCACATGTTTTGGATTTGCTGCTTAAATGTAAGTGAACGTTTGGACGGTTTAGCTGACTCTAGGATTTCTGAATCCAGTCAGTCTAAGTGCTTGAAACCAGTTGTGTTCACAGAATATTTCTGGTTTTCATTTTTTAGTCCCTTATTTCTTTCTTGCCATTCAACTGAACTGGCAATTTTTTACCTGATTGTCCAGAAAGCTTTATGGACAAAAAAACCACCACAAGGTGAATCCGTCTTGCAGATAGAATACCAATCATATATAATTGAATTTACAGAAGCATCCATTATTTTTGAAGTGCCTGATAAAATGTTTACTATTTCAAAGCACTAAGGTTTGAACTTTTGCCTGTTGAACTAAACAAGCCATTCATTTCAATGGGATGAGTTTTTGACCTGTAGGGAATAAGTTTAGACGTTAGTATATATGTATGTTTTAAATAAAACACTTGAAAATCAATCAACTTCCTTCAAACTTTGTTGGTTTTTTTTTTTCCTTTCAGTAAGATACTACATTAGAGTATTTGAGTCAATTTAGTGGAAAAGTTTGGCAGATTAAATTAGTAAATTACCATATTGAACGAAATTAAGAGTTACTAATGGTGTTTATGAGTGTGTAATGTATGTGTATGTGTAAATACCTACATACTCACGTATTTTAACCAAAACTATGTATGGCACTGTTATGGTTTAACCTGGCAGGCAGCTAAACACCACACAGCCGTTCGCTCACTCTCCCCCACAGTGGGATGGGGGAGAGAATTGGGGGGGGGGGAAAGTAAAATTTTTGGCTTGAGATAAAGACGGTTTACTAGGACAGAAAAGGAAGGGAAAATAGTAATAATAATAATAATGATAAAAGAATATACAAAATAAGTGATGCACAATGCAATTGCTCACCACCCACCAACCAATGCCCAGCCAGTTCCCGGGCAGCTCCCCCCAGTTTATATACTCCCCCCAGTTTATATACTGAGCATGACGTCACATGGTATGGAATGTCCCTCTGGCCAGTTTGGGTCAGCTGTCCTGGCTGTGCCCCCTCCCAGCTTCTTGTGCACCTCCAGCCTTCTCAGTCGGTAGAGCATGGGAAGCTGAAAAGTCCTTGCCTAGTGTAAGCACTGCTTAGCAACAACTAAAACATCGGTGTGTTATCAACATTATTCTCCTACTAAATCCAAACCACAGCACTGTACCAGCTACTAGGAAGAAAATTAACGCTATCCCAGCCGAAACCAGGACAAGCACAAATGAGCAATTGCCGTAATTATATGTGTAGAATTACAGAAAAGCTGTGACTAAAAGATCTTCCAGCAAAGTTGTCAGGAAAGATAAACAGGGCAGTGGGAAAACCATAGGAAAATGGCTAGTAGGATCAAGATTATAGTGTGTTCAAATATGCAAATAGCGAATGTTTAACATGTTTATACAGTTCTTAAAATAGTGGAAATGCATTAGCATTTTATATGCTTTGAAATTGACACAAAAAAATAGCCCAGGAAGGTGTGTATACAATCTATGTCTATGGAGGATGTTTTATGTGTTCAGACTTTCATTTCATTTGAATACATGTGTTAACATACTCTTTAAATGTTTTCACATATTATTTTAATATCTATAACTAGAATTGAGCATATTATTTCAGATGAAGAAAGTGATAAAAAGATTGTACTGGGGTGAGCGATAAACTCTGTGAACAGAGAGGGACCTTCAGGACTAAGGCAGACCGCACTCCCTGAAGTGTAAATAAATGTATCACCAGCCTGATGTGAATCATGTGGCAGAATATTGGTAAAGATCAGTTTTACGTTAAGTGAATTATGGCAGAAGGTTCTCCTGCTACTTCTCTGGTTTCCTGGAGATTTCTTTTCTTTTGTATTTCTCATCCATTCTCCCCTCTTCTGTATCATGCTTTCTGCCTTCCTCCCTGCTCTCCAAAGCCATTCATCAAAGAAAGATACTCAGAAATTCTTCTCACCATCTTCTCTCTTCCCAGATCTCTTCACCAGAGAGAGACTATAGTTTATGGCTTTGCTTGAACTCAGAGGAACTGATAGTTATGTGATTTATAGTTCGAAGTCATAGGCTAGTGACTCTTACCAAACAATCAAAACTATACCTAGTGATACCCAATCAAATTAAAAGTCCACAGTTGAAAAAAGGAAGGGTTTTTTTGAGCATGGCCGATGAACAATTTGCAAAGAACCCTTTATAAAGAAACAAAAAAACCAAAACATATGTAAAAGCAAAAGCAATACATCTGCTAAAGCTATAAATTATTTATGAATGACAGCAAATGAAAATGTACCAAGTAAATTAGTCACTGAATGATTTGCTCAGGTTCAGTGGAAAAACAGGTAGAAAAGCTTGCTCGAACAAACATGGTCTGTGGTTAAAATAGCTTTACTGAGACAAAGGCTGTACTACAATGGAGTTTAAAATGTGTTTAACAGTAGTGTCTAGTTACTTACACTGCAATTGTATGCCGTGCCATGGCTGCTGTACTTTGCAGAACTGGTCCCTGAAGTGATCATGCTGGAATTAAATTTTGTGTTTCAAGTAGAGCGTATTTGTCGTATACACCCTGACTTAATGGGAAGATTGACTCAGTATTCATTGTCAAAGCACTCAGAGATTGACTTTATGTAATGAGATTACTTGCTTTGTTCCTCTTCCACAAAAATGTGAATGTATGAGTTTGGCTTCATATATTGCAGTGTTTTCCTTCAGTAATAAGGTGAAGACACTGCAGAAAAGTTGCCTAATAGGCTTTTTACAGTAAGTATGCTTCAGTATTATTTGTTTTTTACACGAAGCAGACTTTTCATTAGTATTATTTACTAAATGATACTAATATTATAACAAGAAGTAAGGGTTCATATTTAAAATTATCTTGGAATTCAGAAATCATGCCAAATAATGGCTAATAACAGCATACTTTATACACTAATGTGTTTTTAGCCCTACATATGTGAATTTACTTTTAGCAGTCCCATCTAGCTTCCTTATTTTAAAGAAATAATCTTGGGACTGGTATTTCTCATGTTCCTTCTTAATCCAAAAGCTAACTTTGATCAAACCAGTTTGCTTTAAGCTGATAAAAAAATGACCCCCCCCAAAAATCAACATTCTATATTAAAATTATATATATTCAAATATTGTACTGCAGGGATTGTTTTGCGGTCTTCTGCAGTGACTTGGAGGTCAAGAGAGCTGGGTTCTGTTCCAAAGCTTGGGATAAAGTGTGTGAAGCTGATGTATGATGTTTTGTCTGCAATAGTTTGAGGTATGAACTCAGCAACCCAGTCTGACACATTAGAAAGAATGTAAAATCTACTGGCAGGACCTCAGCTGATGCGTGTTTTTACGTGGAAGGAGCTCACGAGATTTTAGTGTAGCATATCTTATAAAACCGTGTCACAGTTGGGTAGTATTTTTCAACACTTCTATACTATGGCAGCATTTCCCTTCTTGTTCTGCCAAAATATGGTCAATGCATCTATCAGTGTACTCAGAGGTTTGATTTCTGTTTTGCTTGTGATCTGTCAGCTAGGATATAAATGAAGAATACTGCATTCTGTATTCGGCACTCCCATAGCAAAACTTGCCCAAGGCCTAGCATACACGGTACATCATTTTTGTAATAACTGACCTTTGCTTATCATCATCTTTGATTTATTCAAGACTTCATTGTGTCCTTTATTGAGAAAATGTCGGGGGGGTTCAGGACTACTACTGTTTACATTCTTTTTTCACTCTTCTTCCTATCTTCTCTTTCTCTTCTTCTATGTGCTGGTTCCTTGTGTTTTTAGTAAGGATTATTGTACCTGACAATAGTGCTGATGCTGCCCAATTCCCCTCTCCGGTGTCCTCTTCACTCCGACCTCATACCATGCTTCGGTGATCAACTATGGAACAGTATCAACATTAGGTTTTATTGATAATGCTTCAGTCAGGTGGCTGGCAAAGGGGTGTTAAGTATTTCTAGAGCTATTTTCTCTGAAGACATTCTTGTATTTGTGATATTTCATTCACAGTTGGAAGCTTCAGAATTGTGAAAATTAAAGTCTTTTTTAATGGAAAGTTGAGATTCTACAAAATAAAGGTATAACTAGCTTCACTTTATTCTTCCTACACCCCTGTCAACCTTCTTCACAGTACTTAAAATTTTCTAGACCTCTACCCTATGAGATGCATACACATATATGTGCACACCATATAATTTATAATGAATTATTCTAATGAATGCTTTAGTAATAAAATGTTTTTAAAGTTATTTAAGAAAATGAAAGCTGTATCAACATTAGGTTTTATTGATAATGCTTCAGTCAGGTGGCTGGCAAAGGGGTGTTAAGTATTTCTAGAGCTATTTTCTC